AGAAAAATATCCTTATGGAATGGATATTCACATACAAAATTTAATCATTTTCATAAATGAAGTAAACAGTTATTAAATTCAACAATATGGTGAGAGTGTTGTTTTCAATACAAATTAAGAGAATTATATTAGAGAGAATATAAAACAATTTGAGAGTTATTTTTGCTTCTGATTACAATTATAAAACAAGAAAACAGTTTACAATAGATATAATAATAAATAAACTATTATATATGTTATGGATATAGAATTTGATGATAAATTACTAGTTAGATTCAGTAATGAGCGATTTGAATTAAATATTTTATTAAGACCATTGAAACAAGGAAACGAACTTCAATTCTTTGAATTTATACTATATAAAATATATACATCATTTGTAATTCTAAGAAGAGTACATGGTATTAGAAGAGAATCTATGTGGTAAAAATTAATTATCTAGATGAAGAAAACACTATTAGACCAAGAAACAAATAATAAGTCTTATGGTATGGAAATCCTCATATTAAAACAACTAGTACAAATTATCAAATTGAATCTACTTCTTGTGTTACTAATGAACCAAGACAAATTTTTATTCCAGTCTTTGCATAACTTCTTAAATTTAAATTATTATTTGTTTCTTTTTTAATTAAATTAAAGATTTTTTATTCTAAAAACACTGTAAATAACATTAAATTTGTTTTTAAATATTTCAGTAATTATTGAATATGACATTAAAGTCTATTTATGAAGTAAAAAATAATTGTTACATTTAGATAATATCTATCATCTAGTTAAATTGAATAATGGATATGATATTATTTTATGATATTTAATTAAATTAGTTAAGAGGGCTATTAAAAATTAATTCATATATAAGTAATAATTGATATTACAATACTATATCAATGAATAAACAAATTATAAATTAAATACAATTATAATGAATAATAAAAGGTAATTGTCATTAAAACTGAATGAAAAAAAAATAGTTAATTAACAATAAAAATCAATAAATTATTTTGAGATATACAATTATAATTTATCAAGAAAAATAAACTTGACAATAAAAAGGAAATATAATCAATAAACAATATTCATTTTCAGAGAGACTACTGATTTTAAATGTATTGATCATGAGATCAACGCAAAGTTAAAATTGAATGTTATGACTTTATTATTAACTTGTTAAACTGTTATTTAGAAGTGATAAGAAAATGTTTTTTATGAAATTTAATAATAAAACTACTAAATCAATTTAATTCTTCAAAAACACTTCAAATGATGTAAAAATGAAAATATAAAGAAGATGAATAAAACTAAACATAAAAATAATAAGCTATTTAGAGTGGTCTAGTTAATAAGTTTCTCACCTATTATTATTCAAATGAAAAATTGAAAATCATTCTTAGTACTAAGTAATTATGTTTTACTTAACCATGCCTTTATCACCAAAAATTAATAAGTCGGGCTATTTGAATCAAATTTAATTCTTCATTTATTAATATTATTTAATGAGGTTTACTACAACATTTAGACTAAAAATCCTACTGCCTGAAAAAGGGTTTGAAAGAAGAGAACCATTTTTCTTTTACAATAATATTGTTTTCAATTAACAATAAGTTGAATTTGAGATTAAGACATAACTTATGAAAATAACATTATTCAGTGAAAAGAGGGAAATTAAAAAAAAATTGAGAAATACTGTTAATCAATTAAGAAATCACAACATTAAGCAAACGCACCATCAAATCCAGTGAAACCAGCTAATTGGAAAATTGGGTAATATTCTTTTTTGTCAACAGAAGAACACCAATTCCAAGCTGAAGTTAGTCTTCCATCAATACAAGAACCTGCATCATAGAAGTTATCTGCTCCACTACCATCAAAAGCATGTTTGAAGAAATCAGTAAGAATAATTGTTCTTAGTTCTTCATACGATCCAAAGGTCTTAATAATATAATTCTTTACATGTCCATTCTTTTCTCCTATTTTTTCTAAGTTTTCTAAAGTTGTAACAATTGGTCCAAGAAATCTTGATATTTGAGTGTATTTGTCAATAAATACTAATGCATTTGGAACATTATGATCTCCGAGATGAATTTGTGCTGACCCAACCCAATTACCAACTTTTTCTTGCATTTCTTTAACTATTCGATGCATAACCAAAGAAATTCTAGGTGATTGTTGTAATCTATGATATCCTTGTCCTGTATTTTTCATTTCATAAGGATGTTGAGGATCAAATAAATCTAACTCTGCTAATATCCATAATTGATACATATTTTCTAAAATAATATTCCATAATACCAATGTTTGTTTTACAAATAAAAATTGTTTTGCATGGTCATGTGATAACCGAGAACCTTCATTTCCTTCATTAATGGCCAATGAGAATCTAGGCTCTTTTGCCTCATTAGGATCAAAATATTTTTCTAAATAATGGATTGTTTTTACAACAGGATCTCTATTATATCTAAGATAACAATTATTATCTGCAATAGAATATAAGCATTGTTTGATTTCTTCTTCATCACAATTCATAGTTGAATATTTCTTTGCAATAGCTTTAATAGCACTTTCTTTTCTTTTAATTTCTTCTTGAATTTGTGATTTACTCTTATTATCTGGAATAATTTCATTCACTGCAACTTCAATTAATTCATCATCAAGAATTTTTAATAAATCCTTTCTTTCAAGATATCGATACACTGTTTCTACTGGTCTTAATAATGAAACACCAAGTTCTTCATTGATAGAATTAACAGTAATATCTTGAAGAATAAAAATAAGTTTAGCATAGTCATCTCTCATTCTGTCTGGATTCATAATTTTATATCTTCTCCCAATTTCAAATATTGCTTGTAATATATCTTCGTGTCGACTAAATGTATTTAATACATCAGAATAATCTTCTTTTTCACTTGGTTGTGTTGCAATTAATAAACCATTTAATAATGATGCTATTCCTTTTAATTGTTCTTGCAATCGTTGTGGTTTACCAATTAATTTTATTTGGTCAACTTTATCACTGTATTTAGAGACATGAAGTGCTGCTTCTAATAATCTTAACATTTTTCTTTCTGGTTGTGTAATTCTTAATGGAATAAAACGAGCACGTTCTCGCATATTTGTAGGGAATTTGTATAATTCTTGATTTTCTAATGTAGTATCTGTTTTTTGAGTATCATCCCCCATTGAGAAAAATGCCATGACACTTGCTTTAACACTTTTTCCTGATGGTTTTGATTTAAACTCATGTGTTTTAAACTAAAACAAATAAGTAAAACAAAGGCTCATGAACAAAATAATACAAGAACAAAACAAACTAAGTCATCATCTTCTTCATCAACATCTTTCATTTCTTGTGGCTGACATGATTTTTGTTTCTCCTCTTCTTCTTTAATAACTTTTTCTTCAAGTTGTTTACTGAAGGCTTCGTCCATTATTTGAATTTCAATATTATCCTCTTCCATAGCCTTTTCTTCAGTTTTTTCTTCTTTAATTTGTTGTGGCTCAAGTTCCATAGAATTTTCTTCATCTAATCCTTCTTTTTTGACTTCTTCTTGATGAATTTCTTCCATATTATTTTCTCCTAAATGATTTTCCATTCTTCAATTCTAAGTTCATCAAGTTTTATTTTTGTTTTTTCTATGTTTAAAACCTAATCGAACACAGCTCAAACCTCAACACTTTAACTTGTAGTGTATTTATCTAAAGGAATTTATTGCCTATAAACTCAGTCCATTTATCTATTACCCTCTTTTCATTTTTCTCAAGCAACTTTTTTCTTATTAAAAAAATGGGTATTTTGTTATGCCATCTTTTTCTATAGACACTCTCCTTTTTATGAATAATAGTAAGTAATAACTTAAATAAAATGAAATAACA